TGGCAAATTCCTAAACGTGGGAAAACATTTAAATTTGATTGACTATTTTAAGATATAAACATTACAAAGGTCATTGAGTCATCCAAAAATCTTGTTAAATTTGGGGCTTTAAATAAGACATTTAATACATTTAATGTTTATTTCTTTGATTCAACATTTTATTTGTCAATATCTTGCCTCGAATAAAAAATTGTTCATACTTACATGTAAGCATGCTTTTGCGTATTGAATCAATATAGCCAGAAATAATCCCCCATGGAAATGATTAACAAATGTATACATGTACTGTAACACAAGGTAGGAAATTGACGATAAAAAAATCAAAGTAAGCACATTTTTTAAAGTGTTGTTAAATTAACGACTTTGAAAGTTAAAAAAAATTTATTGTATATTTTATTCCAATTTCATTAGAATTTATCGAGTTGATAGATGAATAAAATAGCTATTGGTAATAAGTGAAACGTCTTTTAATTATTTTCTTTGTATTTTAAGATAAAGAAAAAAATATACACATACTACATGTAGTTATTTAAACATAGATATATGTACGTGTATACAGTGTATGTTTTGAATGAGAGGGAGAGTGGTTGTGAATCAGCAAGCATGCTTATGAAAATTCCTAAGATATATCTTAAGGCGTGTCTCGGGATATTTCTTACGACATATCTTAGGAAAATCTTAAGATACGTCTTGGGTTGTAAAACGAAAGCATCTTAGGAATATCCTAAGTTAAGATGTCGTATATTCCATCTTAGGCATTTTCTTATTTTTCTTTTTTGTAAACGAAGAACTACAAAAAGTCCCTACATGTATTTCAAGTTACCATCATATGTAGATGTAAGGGGAGGGGGTGTTGGGGATGAGCTCCCTTTAGTTCTTTGAAGAATTCACTTAAAACAATCGAATAAATTTTTTATCCGATCGCATCCTCACTACGCTTAATGTAGAGAGTGTGCGAGAAAATCTTGCAGTTAAAGCCATATGCGAATACATGTTTTGTATAACTATATATAAATGTGAAAAAAAAACTTTCATTGCAGTTTGGAGACGATTACTGTTTTTATTTTCCTTGCTTATTAAAAACATATATGAGTTTTTCTTTAGTTGGTTTGTCCCTACTTCTTTTTTAAAAACATGATTGGATTCGAGACTAATTTTTTAAGCATGTTTTTTAAATTCATTTAAACTATTATTTTAATCGATTTTTATTACATACATTATATCTTTAGCAGTTTAGTCCATTTTATCCAGTTGTCTGTAAAAAAAAATATGTAATATAACATACAACTGTAGCTACTTGTGTACAATCAGAAAAGCGGAGCTACATAACAATATATAAGTACATTTTTTTCATATTCATTTGTAATATTGGATAAGTAATTTAGAAAAAAGAAATAAGGCATAACGTCCTTTCTGGTAGTTGATCAACCTCTCTCTCTCTCTCTCTCTCTCTCTCTCTCTCTCTCTCTCTCTCTCTCTCTCTCTCTCTGGAAAAAGGAAGAGGCAGTCACGCTTACATGTATAAACTTTAATTTTTTTTTTCAAAATATGTGTTGTTTCTCTGCTGTCTTTATCATTTACACCGGCTAATACCAAGAAATGCAACAGATTGATGCAATACACAGGCATTAAATTCTGACCAGTATGTACTTAGATTTTTTATCCCTCCGTTTTGCCCCAATAAAAAACAATTGGTTGTATATTTTTATCTTTTTTGAAAGGGCTTGACAAAATCTTTTTCAATGATTTAATCTTTAAATGCATACCTGTCATTTTATGCAGGCACGTAGCATCGTTTTTGAAAGTAGAGGGGGGGGGGCAGCCTAGAGAATTTTTTTTGACTTACCTGGAAAAGTTGACACCCCCCCCCCCCCCCCAAAGGAAAATTACCCCAAATCGAAAATCCTATTTCGTGGGGATGGGGGTGGGGTGGGGTAGAGGCCAACATTTTTCAATGTCACCTTCTTTCAGTACCAATTTCTTAGAATTCAACACTACATTTCCCTGATATCAATTACATATAGTGGGGGGGGGGCGACCAGCCTTTCAATGAGCATTTCAAATCGAAAAAGTAAATATGGGGAAAAAAGTAAGGGGTCAGGCCCCCTGCCCCCACCCCACCCCGTTGCTACGTGCCTGTAATGAGTGCATGTGCATTTTTATTAACTGTTCTATCAATTTTCGTGTGTACAGGCTAATGCATACATTCACACGGTACAATGCTCATAAATTGATTGAGTTCATTAAAGAAATCATTAATTTACAACGAATATTTGATTTATTAACACAAAAGATATTCTTAGCTGTTTTACTGACATCAACTCTTCTTAAAATCACCTAAGATATGACTTAAGACATGTCAGCAGTCGTCTTAAAGTTAGGACTAAGATTAGGAGGTCTCCTAAGATAGGATAGCTTCTGTGGCCTCACTTAAGACTAAGATATGTCGTAAGACCGTCTTTAGATATGTCTTAGTCCTAAGATAGTTTCCTAAGCATGCCTGCAGATGATTAAATGCTGCTATATATAGATACATTTCAAAATATAATTTTGCAGTAAAGTGCGCTTTGATTGCTATAATTTTTTATTTATTTTTTTACAGGCAATTAATACATTGATGTTAATGCCCAACGTTCTTATCATTTAGATGGTTGACACGTTAGATTACAATTTTCCAGTCAGTGCAACAAAAAAATGTCCAATGAATGCCAAAGAATGGGCTGATGCATCTGTAAGGAGAAATTGTAACGACACACATGGGTACCATTGTGTACCTGATAAGAATTTCTCGTCTCTTATAGAGTTTTGTTATCCTCTAGGAAGACGTATTCCTTTTCAAAAAGGTACTTAATTTTTTTAGGATAATTATATATTAACCATTATATTCTAAATTGCAGGGTTGGTTAGAAACATTAAAACTGTACATATTTGTAGGGAATTGTTTGGAACTGGCCTATACTGGAATCCTGAACCATGTTAAGTGTGGCAATTTCAGTTACGGATGTCCAGAAAAGGACTTTTTCAGCAATGAAATGTATCTGTGTAAGTTTTCAACGTCCTTAGTACTTTAATTAAAATTCTAGAAAAAATATATATACTTTGAAGAATGACGTTTAGATTAAATCGGTGATTTCGCATCATTTTTCTCCTACAGATCCAGCATGTTTAAGGCTTGCTGAAAACTGTTTCACAGCAGATCTTAGATGCTTGAAAAAGCGATACTATGAGCAACTGCCGTGAGTACTAGATTCGCAAAATTATTTGATCTTATATAAACAAACTTAAATTATTTCAAAATCTCATACATGACATTTAATAACTGATAGGGATTAACATATTTCTTATGCATATTTTTTAACTTCATTTTATATAGAGACATCAAAATCTACAATGAGAGTATATTAAATTATCTTTGAATTAATAAAACGCTTTTATATTGCTCTAAGAGAAAAAACTGTTTTCATTTAATTTCTATAAATTTCAATCATGTACATGTATATTCAATGAGTCTTTGTTTCAATAGCCTTTTTTTAAATCTTAAATTAAACAAAATTTTTTTTTCAATATTATCTCCTCAATCTCATATTTCATTTTTTAAACTTTTGAATTTTTAGGAGAGAAAAAATAGAAGCAAACTGTACGTGTACCTGTCCAAAAGAGCAGTCACCAAGAGATAAAAATGATTCTACAGTCTTTATTGCTATAATTATCGTATTGTGTGTTTTAGTTATTGCACCTTGGTTAATTCTTTTCCTATGTATGAGGATTCGTAAACAGAGTAAGTTTGAAGTTATTTATTTCTTTCGATACTAGAATTTGTAATTTTGTTAGATAAAAATGAGGGTACTGATAACAGTCTTTATGCACATGATTCCACCTTTGAAATTTTTAAGGGTCTGTGATTATGCCCTGTTCATGTATTTGTGTGTTTTAGTTATCTTATTGCAGAAACCAAAGAGAAATAATTTAAAGTGGAATAATTCATTTTTTCATTATTTATCAACGAATATCTCAGTTAAAATACAACCGACCCCATGAAAATGATGAAAGTTTGAATGTCTTTTAATTCTCTTCATAATTTTATTTTATGTAATTTGTAGTTTTGTATAAGTCAAATAAAACACTTTCATAGAGAGAAAATATTTATTAAAATGAGGTATAAATGTGAACAATTTAACAAACAAGAAGGGGACAAACTTTGATTAGCAGTTACGTAATCCTATGCACAAATAGAAAAAAGTATCTGTAAGACAACCTTTTGAAAAAGTTAGCAAAAAGATGGCACATCAAAATAAAATAGGCAATACATGTACATAAAAACAGTTTAAACAGGTCGAGTCAGAAAGAATCAAATATATAATATATATATATATGATTAACATGACACATATACCCATTTTCAGGGGTTCACCTTATGCATAAATCTCCAAAGTGAATTAATTTAAAGTAGAACAATTCATTATATCATTATTTTTCAACGAATATCTCACAATTTTAAAATTACAACCAGAAACCTCCAATGAAAATGATGAAATACAATTATTATTCTTATTATTCTTATGCTTAACATTATATTTTCTACTTTTGTTCTCAAAACACTTTCATAGAGATGAAAAATTATGTGACAAAATAAAATGAATACTCAAATCAAAAGCATGAATGTAACTATATTAAGATTTGATCATAATTATAAGTGTCCAAAATACTAGACATTGAAACAAACGAAAAAGAAACATGATTTTTTCTATATAATTAACTGGTTTGTCGTCACTATTTAAAAAGTTCTTTTTTTATTTTTTTTCAGAATCCTTTGCATTATTTACAATTTGCAGTAAACAGATTACAGATGATAATGAAGCAACAGGTTAGTGACCAAAGTATAATTTGTATGTTGGTACTTGTACATAGTACATGTATAATGTAATCAGTAAATGTACTATCTTGTAAATTGCACTGTAAAGGTTTGAAGTATTCTTGTGATAAAAAACTTTATTAAAGATATCTGAATTTCCAAAAAAAAACAAACATTCAAGCCTATACCAAGTATGTTGTAATTTCACGCAGAGGCACATGCTGATTATTTCAATTTATGCTTGTCTGCTTAATCAAAATCAAAAAGTGTTCTTATTCAAATGCAAAAGTCAAATAATTTTTAATTAAATGCATTACTTGTTTGAGCATAAAAGTATTTAACGTAGTCGATTCAAGATTTAAAATGCATGGTGAATGCTAAATATAGGCACGTATACCCTCTCATGTATGAAATGCCTTTGAATTCAAATCAAATATCTTAAGTTTGATATATTCCTTTGCAAAGAATTATGTGCAAATGACTGCTTTTATATTTAAAAGATTATCATGTCTTTTCTGAATAATAATTATTGTAAAAGAATTTGGCCTAATATAAATATAACAAATTACTTTACAATTCGTTTAAATATTTGATTGTATGAAGAATGATATCAGAATAAATGCTTTTGAATCTGCAAATGTAAGCATCAATTTTGTTACACAAAAATATACTTTTCAAATTTTTGTACCCCGCTTTTGCGAAAGCTAGGGGACATTAAATCTCATTCGTCCGTTCGTCTCTTAGCATGTCCGTCCGCTAAAGACTTTAACCTTGGTCATATCTTTTCAATGAAAAGGGATAGGACTTTCATATTACACATGTATATTACCTGTGAAAAGACCTTTCTAATTATGCTATATTTTTTTAGCCCGTGACTTTGACCTTGATGTTTGACCTATTAAAAAATTAAAGATTACTTTGAAGTGGCCATAACTTTTAAATGAGATTAAAAGAGATAGGGCTTTCATATTAAAACATGCATTTCCAAAACACTTTGATTGTTGACCTCGTGACCTTTACCTTGAAGTTTAAGCTACTTTTCTAAAAGTTTAACCTTTGTCATAAAATCTGAATGAATTGAAATAGGACTTTTTTATTAAATCTTGTGGACTTTAACCTTTGTCATAAATTTTGAATCTAACTCCATTATTATATTTTATCTTGTGATATTGATCTTGACGTTTGAATTACTTTTCAAAATTGTTAGTTTTTTTCATATAATTTTTGATTGGGAAGAGATGGGGCTCTTATGTTTAACAATATACATTACATGTGACAGGATATTTCCAAGCATGCTATGATTTCTGACCGCTTGACTTTGTCCATCACGATTGACCTTATTTAAAAAATCAACTTAGGTGATAATTTTTGTATGACATATGATAGGGCGTTCATATTTGATACAATATGTCAAAATTGCCATATCACGCACAAAGACACAAAGAAAATTGTATGTTATTTCTTGCAATTGAAATGGGGTTTACGTTCATGCGACTGTTTTATCGTATAAGAAATAAAACACATACACTACATGTATACCTTTAGAATTCTAACATTGTAGAAAATAATCTTTATAATATAGAATACTAAAATAATTTTTTTTTCCATTCAGATCTATTACTGAGGGAATCCAGCGGAAATATGTTGACAGATCGACGCAGTGAAGGTAAGTAAAGATATTAGTCATTTATTTGCCCCCCCCCCCTTCATACAAGATTCCTGAGTATATAGTTTTGCCCTGTCCGTCCCTCTAGCTGTCTAGTTGTTTGTCTGTTTGTCCGCAAAAACTTTAACTTTGCCCATAACTTTTGACTGCACTGGGCTTTGGCTTTCATATTTTGCAGGTGTATTCCTTGCGAAATTCTTTGAGTACCACCATTTTTTTTTTATATATAAAAACTACGCATGCATGTAAAGCATGGAATGTGAACCTCAAACAAGTGGCAAAGTTTTACATAGGAATATATAATTAAAAATCTTAATGAAAAATCAGAATTTTTTCTCCGGGTAATATACCACTGTAATTTTCAGGAAAGTGAAATTAATGTGCATTTCATCCTCATAGTAAATTTCAAAGTCTGTTTTTGTTGCGCCGTACTGCCATTAACCTTTGTTGGCAAGACGGGGACAAAAGTATTTCACAAAGTTTTACATCATTGGGATATATAGGGAAATCTTTTAAAATCTTTTTTTCAAGTATTTCAAAGCTACTGTAATTAGTGATATTTTTATGGAATCTTCCTTTTAATAGTGTAGATTCTAGTTTGTTCAAATGATGAACGCCTGGACTTTTTGAACACTAATTACCATGGATTAAATATTTCAAAGGTGTATTGCTCAGGCAAGCCTTCCTGGCCCAAAACTGTTAAACTCTTGTTGGAAATGAATACCACGCATGCGTGTAAAGCATGGAATGTGAGCTTCAAACAAGTGGCAAAGTAGATATTTATGGACCAGAAATAACTATTAAGACTTTTAATGAAATAATCAGAATTATTTACTTAATACAAAACCTGTAATTTTCTGAAAGTGTATACATTAATGAGCATAAAAAGATATCCAAATCCTAATTTTAACAGTCTGTTTTTGATAAGACCTTTCGTACTGCCACTTTAACCTTTGTTGGCATACGAGGGCATATTAAGTATTTCACAAACACATCTTGTTTATTTCTAATCATTGACCGTAAAGCTTCACAAACATTGATTTTTTTAAATCTATTTCCATAGTTTTTTAACTGTAAGTATTACGGCTTTCATTTTTATGGGCTCATTCCTTTTAATAAAGCCTTCCATTGATATTACTCACTTTGACCTTTACTTTGGCCTCCTTTTGAGAAACTTTAACTTGGAACCTTGGTCATAATGTTTTAACACTAAGTACCGTGGATTAAATATTTCAAAGGTGTATTTCTTTGGCAAGGCCTTCCTCTAACTACCAAAACTGTTTAACTTTTGGCCTTGACCTTGGAATTTAACCTATTTTCATAACTTTTAAACAAATACAAATATTGGTTTCTTCCAGTGTATGAAAGTGATAACTAAATGTATTTCTTTGGAATGACTGTTTAACATTTCATTGATTCAATATTCATTTAGGCATCCTAAAGTAACTCACTTTAAATTTGAATATCATTCTACATACACATGTTTTTTTAATAAATAGTAGATCTAACAAAGATGTTTTTTGACAGAGGTAGTTATTAAATAACGTTGTAGAATGTGTAAATATTTATCTTTAGCCAAATATGCAATAATAAAATTTTCTTTTATCACATGCAGATCTGCATGATAAAAGGAATTCAAAAGGTACCAGGCATTATAAAGATATTCCTAATTCATCAGGTGAGAAATTTTTCGGATGATGCATGATATTTACCGGTTTAATGAAAACTAAGGGAGGTTTTATATTGGAATGAAAAGAACATGTCTTAAAGAAACTAGACATCATAAAAAGTGTGTTTAAATGTAGTCAACCAAACAATTAATTGACCTTCAAACAAGAAATATTTCATACACACGATTGTAGCAGAACAAACGTTAATTCCTCCATTTTTAAGAACATGATTGAGTAATTCTTTGCAATAATTTTTACAATATGATTTTTTACTTGGATGAAATTTTACAATAACGATTTCTCAATATGGAGACGATACATCACTTATTTCTTATGGATAACCTGAATGGATGGAATTCTTATCAGGGCTCAAAATAAATTAAAAAAAAAAATAAAAATGATATGGAATGGTGGGATAAAAATTTCAAAGGATGTATATCATCATGCCAAGTGAAAGTTAGACTTGAAAATCACAATTTTTGTTCTTTTCGGGATTGAGTTTTCTGTAGATTTAAATGACATGATTAATCTTAATTATAGTTCAAGGTGAAATGAGATTTAAAAGGTATTAAATCAGTGGAAATTAAGAAAATTAAGCCCACTGGTGGGTAAACTGTAATAAAGACATTGATTATTCCTAAATTAATTCACTTAATACTTATGGTACCTAATCCCCCATCAGAAATTAGAAAATAGTCAAGGATGAAATTTTATTTTTTTTTTCATTGGGAAAGCAAAGTTCATGATATAGAAGGTTATAATATCATTCAAGAATCAAGACTACAGGGATAGTGGCCTTAGAATGATAGATTATTCAGGGTTTATAATAGCATTAAAATCAAGTTGGATAAGAAGATTAATCTATTCCGATTCAAACTTGGTAACACTATTTCAATCAAAAATACATACAAATATTAAAAATTTTCCTTCAGATAATTTTGTCCAAAGACATCGCCTACAAAGAATTTGAGATATATGTGAATTTTTTTTTATTGAATTTTTCACAATACATCAATACATGTATATCCAAATTTTAGGGTGGGAAACAGCTATGGACACTATTATCTGATGAAAAATTACGAATTAGACATCACCAATTATCAGACCTGATAATTGGTGATGTCTCCCTACTTAACAGTCCATAACAATTTTATTATCCTGAAGAAAATACAATTATCAATTGAATAGAGTAGAAAAAAAGTAATCAAACCTCTTGTTTTCTCCTTCTGTGCTCCGATTCCATACTTTCAAAATATTTCAACAGACAACTTTGACGTCATCGTTAGAATTTATTGTTTACCGATCCTGCATATTTAGCAATTGTACTTATAAATAGGAGTTATCTCGCTTAAACCACTGTTGTTTCATTCAAAGGGCGACAACACAGTTGTAACCCTGCATACTCGCTTACGCTATTTCATTGTCATCTGAAGGGAGATAACAGTTGTCACCCTGCGCGTGAGGGAGACATCACGAGTTGTCTCCCTGCACGTGACCTGCTCTAAACCAATCAGATTGACTGTATAATTCTGAAGGATACTAATATTATTTGAAGAACATAAGAGTAAGGATGTCCATTATGTGCAGAATTTGATTACACGGATTACTAAAATGATGTTTTTCCACTAATTATAAAAACCCTTTTGTTCTAAGCACAACGACTTTGAAAACTATTAATGTGGAAAGAATCTTGAGAAAGAAAATATAAGTTTTGAAACAATGTAAATTAAATATATCGAGTTTGAGAATAACTTGCAGAGCATATGATATATAAATCATGTGTACATGCGTACATGTAAATTTTTCAAGAGACGAATAATGATCATTACCCGGCCCTAATGAAAAGGGAAAAACACTATGCCCCTACATATTTTTTGCTTTTTTTCTCCTCTTTCTATCTTTCTTACTCTCTCTCTCCTTTTTTCTCTTTTCTTCTACCTTAAAACAACGTTTACATGTGTTTAACTTTGTGTATGTTTATATGTGTGTCTTAATGGAGGTGTGATACCCATGTGAGAGTTGAAAGGATAAAAACAATTAAAAATTCTTTTACTATAACAGAGGCATTACTTTACGATTGCGGCTTAAAACATTGCTGATTTATTTATATATTGGTTAATTCAATTTTCAAATTCATTCATATGATAAAACGTTCTTCCATTGATATTTTTGAAATATTTTATATAAGTACTCGTGTATATTTTATTTCTCAAACTTTCGGATATCTCGCATCATCTTAGGATGTTTCATGCAACATCATTAATAATTAAATTTGTTTGCTATTACATCTGTTTCTAGTGAACGAGGTCAAGGGAATATTCGTCGATTTTACAGTTGAAGATTCAGAATTATTTATCCTTTTGAAAAGACAATGTGTAAATGGAGTACTAGTGGGATTTCAATATCTAAATAAAACAAGAGTCAAAGATCGAGGGAAACATAAAATTTTATGTCAACGAGATGAAGATGGATGTACGCTATTACATTATGCAGCCCAAGGAGGTTCTATTGCAATACTAGAAGAAATTATGCAAACTAACAGTGAGGTAAAGATCGATATTAAATGTTTTCGAGGACAGACGGTTCTTGACTACGCAATAAAAAACGAACAGAAAGACATGAGTGAGTTCTTGATTACTAAACATAAGGAACTGTTACTGGATACCTGTCAAGGAATTAAACCAATCCACTGGGTTGCATGGCACGGCGATTTAAATATGTTTTATTTCCTAAGACAAAATGATGTTGATCTAAACATAAAAACAAAGAACGGATTAAATATATTAGATATTGCAATTATGAGGAACAAAGACGAATTTTGTGAAAGCATGATAAATAATGAATATATGATACAAGATGGAAAACATGATGAGTGTGGATGGAATATAGCTCATTATGCAGCGTATGCAAATAACGTCAACGTTTTAGATCTTTTAAAATCAAAAAACAAGAGCTTTATAATGGCTAAAACAACAACACAGAAAACAACTCTACACATAGCCTGTGAGTATGGACACCTTGAAGTTGCGGGATTTATCATTGAAAATTTTGAAGATCTCCTGCATTACACCGATGATCTTAAATGGAATGCGATTCATTATGCTGGCAAGGGTGGAAATTTACAAGTTCTTCGTTTACTGAAGGAAAAAGGTATGCTCATTACATCTCTGACAGGGGAAGAGAAAACTGTACTTCACATATCATGCACTCATAAACAGGTAGAACTTTGCAGGTACGTAACTGAGAAATTTTATAATGATCTCCAGAAACGAAACCTAATAAATAAAAAGACAACAACACAATCATGGATGGCTGCACACTATATTGGGGTTGAGAGGAAAGGGGATGGAAGTGAGGAGAAAATCGTTGATATTCTGTTTGGTTGCGAAGCAAATCTGTCTGAGAAGACGAAGCAAGGATGGTCGGTTCTTCGTATTGCAATTGATCATTGCAATAGACGCCTTGTAAAGCATCTTTTGTCTATAACATATAGAACTAAATTAAACATTACAAGAGAAATTCTTACCGATTATTTAAAAATTGCAAAGGATGAAGGCATAATTAAAATTCTTCAAGATACTTTAAATGAAATGACAACAAAATGATCATTGTCATTTCGTTGATGCCGATCAATTTGTTAACAGAGAGAATTGTGTTTTCTTTTTCAGTAGATTTATGAATTGGTTGTTTACTTTACAATACACTTTTTTTTCTTATATTCATTGAATGTTTAAAATATTTAAAAATTATATATCCTAAGGGTTATTGAACTTATATTGGTGAATATTGACATAAGTTGGATGTACAAATGCACGTCCTTGCGAGTGCATTTGTACAGCCATCGAGTGCCAATATTCACCAATATAAGTTCAATTACTCCTATTTTTATACGGTAAAAATATTTCCTCATAATTTATAATAATTATTCCAACTGGAAAACTCAAATTAATGATTTTTTAACATCAGTATTCAAATTAACTCCTGTCCTGTAAGACGTTCAATATCGCATCATTCCGATGACCTTACTGAGCGCAATGATTTGCTTATTTAGTTTTTAATGGGTCTAATACACACTAAATTTTTAATGAATAGTTTAATTTTTTGTAAAAAATAATTACATCTTACCTAAATGCCACTTCCTTTCTTTAATTTAGCTCTGAGAATTTGATCAGACGACTTTACTTTTGTTTACAACGGGGAGTTCGATATTGAACGCTCGTATTCGGAATGATTCGGGCGTACTCGCATACGCAATACAAACTTAACGTTCAATAAAACGTCAAGATATTGAACGCTAAAATTCTCTAGATTTTTGGTAGTATTTTATTAGAGACTACTTATTAGCTATATAATAAAGTAGCATTTATAGAACAGTTATGTCATAAACTGATTTGTGTTGATTTGCAAAAGACAGTTTTTATATTATTTTGAAAGCTTGAAAGAATCCGAAAGTGTGAACAATGCATTGAATAATGTGAGAGGGTGAGCGCATGAGTGTAATTAATGTTAATATGTTTGTTTACAACTTCTTTGTTTATTTTGAGAAAAATGTTATTAAAATAAATTATTATAAGAAAATGAAATAGTTAACGGAATATATTTTAAGATTTATCCAAATGTCAACAATAAAAAGATTTTAAGTGACATTTTTTTAAAACTATATGTATAGAAATATAAGCATGGTTGTGGAAACGTAGAATTTTGAACACTTTCGAAAGTTTTTTTTTCTGATAGTTAAGAAATCTATAATTCTCATTATTTAGAACAGAATAGGTAAAAAATATATACCGGTCCAGGCATCCATTTTTGTTTTGTTTATTCATGTATCATTTGTCCTTGATTGCCTTAAATAAACGTGCTCCTAAAAATAATGTTTCTTATATTTGAATTTTTCTTATTTTATATCATCACGTCGTTGGATCTACTACACTTCCAAACGTTCTTCACTGAAATTTATAAACTTGGCTTTTTTGAGACTAAATGCAACTGCTTCGTAAATAAAAATATGTCGAAACTTTCCTTTCCTTTAATTTGGTGAATTTTCAACAAAATATATTTTATAAAATCACAAGCACTTGTTTGTATATTTTGTTGCAATTACCGGTAATATGTACACTGGTATTGGCCACAAATTTTAAAATACTTAATTCATACTCTCCCTCTGATTCTATATTAAGATTCTGAAGCTGAAATAAATTGTTGTGGTCCTCAAAGACATTATTTACATGTTTGTAGTGTTCGGTCAAGAGGTCATATTATTGAAATCCTAAAAGCACTAGATAAATTATGATTCTTTATCAGCTTATCCTATCCCAATGAAGCAGACCTTATTCATAAACTTCTAAATGGAAAAGGAGAACACTTTCTTTGGCATTCCGTTCTTTATTTTTATATATGGACGATGTGCTATCAATCAATAATACGCGAGATTGTACACTGTACATATGTATTTATTTAGTTCATTCATTTATCAATTTGATTTACCAGTATTTCAGAATTTAAACTTGAAATAAAGACATCACTTCGAATCCTTAACATCTGCTTCGTATCTGTACGTTTTACTCAGTTAAATTTGATAAAGGTCTACTAACGACTGAATTGTTTGATAAACCATATGACTTTACCATCGTCATCTTTCCTTAATTATGTAGTAAGACCCTGCTAACATCTGTAGATAAGGATTTTACATTTCTCAACTTAAATAATACTCCAGAGCATCTTCTGAGTACGATCAGTATATCAAACTCAGACAGGCTTATGGTAAAAATGTTGAAGTCACAGGATTTTCAATAACCTCGTTCAAAATCCACATTTCTTAAATTCTATACTGTAGATTCCTTTTTTTTTTTTGGCGAGAACTTATTTTTACAAAATTACTCTTTCATGTCAAATCGCGAGAACAATAATTCGCGATTTGACGGTGGATCAAGAAAATTAACATGAATTTCATTTCAGCACCTGGAAATAAAAGCGAGAAAGTTTGTTTTGCGATCGATGCTTCTCGCGATCATGCGCGATAATTAATTTCTCGTGTATGATTAGGAATCTACAGTAATCGATATAATGACCATGTTGATCAGTATATATCCTCTCATTGAATCGCATTTTGTTCGCCTAGTTTCATACAAATTTAAACCTTAGTTTTTGAAATTGATATCGACAGCTGAGAGATGTTCCGATTTAATTTGACCTGATTAATACAGAGGGTTCACGGTGGGTGTGACAGGTCTACAGGAGATGTTTTACTACTCCTAGTCACGTGATCCCATATCTGGAATTTCCATATATATGCCCTCTCAACAGATTGTGTGTTTAGATTTACCGAACTTTTGATAAAGGTCAATGTTCGTTATCTTATCTTTTTTCGTCTTTCTAATTAGATACTTTTAAGAAGCAGAAGGGTTACATGTATAATTTACTCGACTTTGACCTACATTCAAGAAATTTCCAAGACAATTTATTTTGAAAGTTTCTTTGCAAAGGTGCTTTCAATTAGAAAATGATCCAAATGTGCCCAACACATGGTAATTATTTTTGTCACTCACAATTTGTTTAGATTAAATACATTCTCTTCATTATTTGTTTAATTTTACTGTTATGAAAATTATTGTGATAATTTATTTTTTTTTTTTGGCAAAATATATCGACATCCGAAATATTCTTATTACTTTTTAACGGTGCATAGACACAGATGTGAAGTTAATATTTTCTCAAAATTTTATTATAATAAACAAAAGTTTAACAAATTGAACACGCAAAGCGAGGTTTGCTAATGTTTACGTTTCATTAGATGTGTTCAATTGTAACACTCAGCACTCATCACGGAAACACAGATTGACAAGACCGGTGAGTTTGTTTTAGTTTCTCACACTTCTTTCCTGAATTGTTTGGATTATAGTAACTGTTTTAATAATTTGCTTAAATACTCAACAAAATTTGTAGTTTTCTCAGACATTAGGGATAAAGATTTCCTTGTGAAATTGCAAGTGTGTGCAAATCATACGCTACTCGAAATTTGTTGTTCTTTCAACCATTTTCAGTGATTTTTTTTCAAATTAGTTTTTTGTGTGAAATACCGTAATAACATACCGGTCTTAATCATGATATTTCACTGGAAATTGAAGAAAATATTTCAAAATATGTATATATATATATATATATATATATATATATATATATATATATATATATATATATATATATATATATATATATATATATATATATATATATTAATGCAATAAGTATTTTGATACCCCGGTTACTTTGAAACAATTTTGATAGATTAAAGGCAGAGTAACGTACCGCATGGTCAGAATTTCATTTGTTAGATTTTGATTGGTCAGATTTTGATTGGTCAATCTCTGCCTCTACTACCACAGTAAGACATGGAACAAAATTAACATTACAAAGCACAGTTATACAGTATTTCAGACTTTCACATTCAAGGAGGACACTTATTGATTACAATAAAAATTTTTAAGTAAACTTAAATATATATATATATCATCGGACGTGGTGTGCGGCACTATTTTTTAGGAGGCGGCAAACCCAACCAAGGACAGAGGCACATACCACAATTATATCAACAAACAGCGCAAATTTAGTTGATGTTGAGGAAACAAATAAAACCAAGGAATCAATAGCAGTTGATCCTAAAGTGTTTAATCTTTCAGATAGGATATTAACTAAAGCAGAGATAAAATTATTATCTAGAGGCTTGAAATATACACCCACCCCACGTATGAATAACCAAGAACTTAAAACGGACGTAAAGGAATATACAAGGCGACTACGACTAAGGGAATACTTTTACGAAGATAACGACGAATCAACAGAAGATAGTGAAAATGAGGAACCAGAGGACCTGGTTAGAAATAAATCCCACTTTATTCCAAAACGAGGAAGAAATGGAACTCTAGATACGGTATGTGAAACCCTAGATAATATAAACCTACCTAATATTAAGAAGAATATTAGATCTAATCTCACAAAAGAAGAGCAAAAAGCTTTAAATGACTTACATAATGACGAAAATATCGTTATCAAAGAAGCCGACAAAGGAGGCGGAGTAGTCATCATGAATAAAACATATTACGAACGTAAGATTTTGAATATGCTACAGGACCCTAACTACTATGGGAGTATTATTGCAAATCACGAGACAAAAACTTTAGCAAAGATAAAACAACTTGTCAGTGGGCCATCCTCGGGAGATATAACTGCTAAGGAGAAAGACTATCTCACAAACTTTGAAACAAAAGAGAGTCAATTTTACGGATTACCAAAAGTACACAAGTCATCAGAAATCAAAAACGCCATACAGGCTCAGAGAGGAGAATATATTTGCTGTCAAAAATAGGAAAATCTCTTTTCGGCCAATCGTAGGGGGGCCTAAAACTCAAAGACTGAGTCACTTGTTAGACATTTTATTAAAGCCTTATTGTGAAAAGGTTCCTAGTTTTATAAGAGATGATATAGATTTTATCAAGCACCTACCAGAACATATTCAACCTAATACGAAACTCGTGTCATTCGACGTCGTGAATTTATACACAAATATACCCGTGGACTTGGGTATAAAAGCGGTTAAATACTGGATTGATAGATACCCAAACTTACTACAGGATCGTTTTGAGCAAGAATTCATCTTAGAAGGATTAAGAATTATACTTCAAAACAATACATTTGCCTTCGGAATAGAGCATTTTATTCAAACCAAAGGAACAGCGATGGGAACAAAAGTGGCTCCCACGTATGCCACCTTAACTTTGGGATACCTCGAGCAAAAACTCCATCAACGACTTGTCACTCTATGGGGAGAAGAGGACGCTGAAGCTATAACATCAAAGTGGAAACGATTTTTAGATGACTGCTTCATTCTGTGGAATGACAACATTGAGAGATTATCAATTTTCCACCAATTATTAAACGACTTAGATTCCAACATTAAATTTACCATGGAAAGCAGCGATATGGAATTACCTTTCCTTGACGTTCTTGTCATTAAAGAAGATACCAAACTTTCAACGGATATTTTCTACAAATCAACTGACACCCACCAGTACTTACATTTTGGATCCTGTCACCCTCATCACACAAAAACAGCAATTCCATACAATCTGGCTAGACGTTTATGTGCTATCGTTAGTGACGAAAACACCAGAGATATCCGACTGAAAGAACTCAAGTTATACCTTTTAAAACAGGGATATCCTCAAAACCTGATAGATAACGGGATATTGAAAGCCAAAGGATATGAACGGTCAGAATTACTGTCTACAAATACCCAGGAAAATAAAACGGATATAATTCCGTTTGTGCATACCCACAATCCAAGGAATCATAATTTGACCTCCGTAGTACACCAACTTAACAACGTTCTGAAAACGGACCGGTCAACACAACAAATATATAGAGATGTAAAATTTATTAACAGCAGAAGACAGCCCAAAAATCTTAGAAGAATTCTGTGTTCGTCCCATTTTAAGAATAGTTACAAAGTGACTAAGTGTGAAGACGCGCGTTGCGGGACGTGTACACATATAATGGAAGGATCAACTTATGACTTTAATGGAAGACAATTCACAGTCAATGCAAACATGTCTTGTGCCACTAAAAATGTAATATATGTAATAACGTGTGCTGGATGCCAAGAATTTTATATCGGGGAAACAAGCAATCAATTGCGTGCCCGGGTGCGTGTCCACCGACAACATATTAACTCTCCGGAATATCGGCAAATCCCTCTGAGTGAACATTATACTTGTGGAAATAAACAATTCACTATATTTCCTTTTTACAAACTTTCAAGTGAAAGTGATATTCAGAGACGTGAGAAAGAAAAACATTTTATACATGTGTTCAAACCTAGACTGAACAATTGAGCATAATCGTTGTAAAAATTGTATGTATTATTTTCATTCTACAGTTTTCCCGCAAAGTTTGACTATGACGTCACAATACACATTTGTATGTAATGTTCCGCTTATTATGACGTTATGACGTTATGTTGCTATGTTACGTATTATAAAGCTTCTGAAGATTTGAAATGAAAGCGCTTAAGCTAAACTAAAGGTTTTCGTGTTTCTTTTTTAAAAAACATTTACCTGTAAACTACCGAGCACTGTGAATTTTTTTTCTGTTTCAATAGATATAGATATATATATATATATATATATATATATATATATATATATATATATATATATATATATATATATATATATATATATATATATATATATGAACAACAACAAAATTGAGCAAGTTAAATATTATAGGGAAGGAACTTTCCCGGACATCTATCATGATTTGTACATTTTTGTTGCTAAAGTTAGGAAAATTTAGATTTGTATAAAAAATTAAAACACGGAACCTTCTATTCTAAATGTAAGTATTTGTTTACTTGATACTATGCTGTATTTACATTTCCCATGTCTTTGTTTACATCAAATGGTAAAATGTACTTCATTTCTACAAAATTACATTTCCAGTGTATTTGGCCTAGATAAAATTACTAAATTGTAATTATACTTCATTTCTTCATTAAATTACTTGTTCATCGAAAAACGCAGTCAAAAGAACTCGGGGGACAAATAGAGACAGAAGCGGGCTTTAGAGCACGTTGATTTGTGGAATCTAGCAAGAGCATGTAAATATATATAAGAATTACTGTCAGATTTTTTTTTATTCCATGACAATGATCAATTGATTGGCTTGTGTAACAATTTAATATATAAACGCTTTCGGCATTTAGACAAATTATCAAGCATGCCACTCGATTGATCACAAGGTCAATACACATGTACATGTACATTTATCAATCTTAAAATCAATTTACAAAATGTCCTCATTCAACGGGGTTGTTGAAATGCCTGTGACTTTAACTTATCTGTTAGAGGCTTGCTTCTGTTTTAAAGTTTTAAAGAATTAGTTACTAAGAGTATCCTTTTTAGCATATATTTAGCGTAGTTTTGAGATAAAAAAAACAACATATACACGTGGAATATATTTTTACATAAAGAAATTTACGATGTTAAAGCTAGGCCCTCTTCTGTGTCATTAATTAAATCGTTTGTTTGCCCTTATAATCTCTAATCTTTAACACATGTCAAACATCTAAATATGAAACAATTGTGACATAACCTATAATGTCTTTAATGAATCATTAGAATATGTATGTATCGAGTACACATATCGATGAAACTAATTTTTGATTACATATATATAGAAATACTACATGTTTGTCCTGCATCCATGTACTTCCCTAATTAAAAATACTCAACTCAATGGAGTCTCGTCTTCGTCTTATCAATATATATGAGTATTATAAATATAACAGGCGTCAGCATGAAATAAAAAAAATATTATATCTACGTTCTATAAGAAATGTGTAGGGACATGGATATACTTTTACCCCACCTCTGTTGATTTTTCCGTGAAATCCTGGCTTACGATTGGTAGAAGTCTGTCACGTGAAGGCGGTGGATTTTTATACCCGGTCATTTAAATCCATACCCGGTCAGTTGTAATCTATATTGGATTTATAACGTCACAAACACAAACGTGAATAATAGGCAAGGAAAGCGCGATGAAGGATTTAGCAGAGAAAACCATTTATAAACTACGGATGAAACGTAAATTTTTAGTGTAAATTCGTGTTAAAAGTCATTTAGTGACGTAGATAGGTATGGGATGATACCTGGTTAGTAAATTTCATACCTGACTCGGCTCCGCCTCGCCAGGTATGAAATTTACTAACCAGGTATCATCCCATACCCTGTCGCTAAAAGACTATGTAACTAATAATACGACCACTTGAAATTTAGAGTTAAGAAATTACATGATGTTATAAACAATACTCTTTTTTAAAATTCCTAAACAATACAAAATAAGCTATTTAGACTTTGCAAAAGAACAATAAGTAATCTGATCTTTTTATATTTTTTTAAAAACTTGTTGCAGGGAACAACACTTAATTATCATTTGCAGAAAATGAAAGCAATATTGCATCAAAAATTTCCATTTCCCCAGTATTTGTAGTTGTAATGTACCCTGACTTCCTTGTCAATTGTTTGTCAATCATCCGTGTTCTTCAAGGTTAAACTATGTGTTTTACAATACGTAGATAAGTATGGACATGATACATAGGTAAATTACGTAATAACATGGTATTATCTCTAGAGGAACAACAAATTGGTAAGTTTTTAATTTAACATTTGATTACTTTTTGTGAGGATATGAACAAAAGATATATATTTCTCATAGTTCACCAATTTCAAACAAGTCATATTAAAACGATTATAAATTGGTAATGTATATTATGGTATATATACCAGTGTATGCAAAACGAAAGTACGTATATTAATAAAAAATATTGAAAGATATCTGCTCATATAAGAAAGGACGAGATGCCATTTTATTGTGAAGTCACAGAGTCAAATGTCAAGGGCAAAAGTACTCAAATCATAATTATAGTATTTGCCCACTCAGTATATAATCTTTTTAATTTTTTTTATTGACTGCATGACCCCAATATAGATACATTGCCCCCCCCCCCCTCCCCTATATTTAATGTCCGTGTACGATTTGCAATTGGTTTTCAACACGTAATTTCAGAAAAAAAATCAAGATTCCTAAAATGTATAGTTATTATAATGATATTAGGTGATAAAATTTATGTGGACGAAACCTGTGAATTCTGTCATTTTCTCTATTTATTTTCATAGTAATTTATCAGCCTTGTATTTCTAATGACATAACATATATCAACACGGCTAGGAAAGAGATGTACATGAAAATTTTGTATCGTTATTTCGATGTTATTTATATATTGAACTAGAGTAAAATTGTTTGTACGTACAGCATGCTCTTGCGTATCGAATCAACTGAGATATATATACTCCGTATGCAGGTGATGAAGGTATATTGCTACATAAGTAAGGGAAAGTAAAATATTAGATGCATAATGACATTATATGATAAAGAATCTGTGAAAGTCTCGTTTAATTTTAGTCATGGTATACAGGAGTTGTGGATAAGAGATAGGTACCCTTCAAGAGGTACCCTCCTTCGATATTATAGAGAAAACGACAGTGTCCATGTTTTTCTGTGGGAACCCCTAAAAATGTGTCGGACCCAAAACTAAGATAGGAGGTCACAGTGTGACCGTGTTACAGAGATTCTGTGAAAGTCTCATTAAATTTCAATCAGTGTTGATAAGAAATACCCCAATGCGCAACAGTCGGACGGACGGGCAAACGAACAAACAGACGGCCGGACAGACGGACTGACATCCCGATCACTATATACATGTACCCTACAGCCTTTTAAGCAGATGTATAAAGGCACTGAGTATTGTTAATTGATAAAACGACGTAGATATCTGAATGTCGAATTAAAGACAGCTGCAAGAGACGTCTGTATTTTCGAAAATTTATACCCGGTACATGTATACCCTTTTAATTGATTACAGGTAGTACTTTTAAGTGAACATAACCCACAGTTGTGAATTTCATACATCACATAAATTATACAAACCGAGAACAAAACAAGCAAGGCTGGATTATGTACAAGAGTTACTGTCTAGCTAAAATTGATTTTTCCCCACGTTGAATCATTTCTAATAGGTCAATAATTTCAGGAATTCTCAGGAAAACTTGGAGATGTTGCTACTGACTATTTTGATATGTCTTGCTCAGGCAGTTTTAACAGCAAAGGTAAATAAATTACTGCACTAAAATTTTATTTATTAAATGTGTGGTGTTTGACCTGATGTAGTCTGTAAAATCCTTTGTTTTAAAACAAAAATATTATTCTTTGGATCAATATACTTTTTATAGTAAGATAATTCTAAAAGAAAGTAAAATTGATCTGAAAAACATAAATATCGTTTAGGAAGACGTCTTATCAGATTATTCTTTTCCTGTTTATACGACTGAGAGATGTCCAAGGGACAAACGTGAATGGGATGCTGCCTCTGCCAGACTACTTTGCAATGATTCATATGGATACCACTGTGTCCCGGATAAGACATTCTCATCTCTTATTGAGTTTTGCTACCCAGACGGAAAATTTAAACGTTTCCAGAAAGGTAAAAGGGTGATTCTAAATACTAATAGAAGTATATGATTTTTATACCTGTGTGTTGCAAAAAAATGTGAAAATAAACCAAGCACGTATTTTCAGGTAATTGTCTTGAGCTTGCTTATACTGGTATTTTGAACCATGTCAAGTGCAAAAATTTCTCTTTTGGTTGTCCTGATCAAGACTACAACAGCAACGAGCTCTATAACTGTAAGTTATATATATCAGTAAAAATTTTTTCAAAGCTTTTTAAAAATAATTTTGCATCTGGAATTACTTTTTGAATTGTCATTTAATTACAGATCCAGCTTGTTTTAATATACTTGAGAACTGTTTCATAGCGGATATCAGTTGTCTTAAGCTACGAACTGATAGAAAAAAGTAAGTATAACAATTGTTTTACTAAATGTTTCATCTAATAAAATTGTAGCATAAGGACTTGTCGAAAGTAACTTTATTTCAGTACTTTCTCAATATTTTTTAATGAAATAATTACTGTATTTTGCACTTAATTTCACTCACCTGATTGTGGGCCGATCAACGTAAGTATGTTGGAGGTATGATACCATACTTAAGATCAGACGTAGCAGGAGACCATAAACCCACCCTTGAATTCAACGACATAGAGTCAGTGGGCATAGAGGTAACATTAAATGGTCATAAATGGTTCTTTGTTGGTGCTTACAAGCCACCTCAGATGGAAGACAACGTCTGATGTAGCAGTAAGTTTAACTTTTAGCGTGCCTGACAAAAATGAAAGCTCTGTAATATGTGGCAAATTTGATACACATGATGTCAAATATATGGTTTAAAAAGCAACATGTTTCACTAAGATTGGGAAACTATATCTTTTAGATGTTATTATAACCAACGAAAATAATAAACGTGGTAAAGTATGTAATTTTGGAAGTGGTAATAGTGACTGTCATACTTTTATTTCTGTTCGGGTAAATATTAAAATTAGAGAAAGTGAAACAAAGAAAAAATGTTTAGAAGTTTTAAAAATTTTAATGATGAACATTTCACTTTGGAACTAGAAGATAAATTAACTGCACTACAGTGTATCTATTTATATAATAGTGTTGCATTGTGCATGTACTATGCCTAAATAGTAGGCAAGGTTTGACACATGGTGCACGAGCCGGAGGCGAGTGCACTATGTGTCAAACCCTGCCTACTATTTAGGCATAGTACATGCATATCCAGCTCGTGCACCATGTGTCAAACCTTGCCTACTATTTAGGCATAGTACATGCATAATGCAACACTATTATATAATTATTATGCTTCCTGTCAGATTGTCTCTATATAACCCATACCCTACTATTCTCGCATAGTGGTCTAAGGATTTATATAGCGTAAGCATACTATGCCGAAATAGTGCACGGCCTTATTTTCTGAATAAAATTCATCAATGCACACACCGGGAATCGAACTCACGACCATGAGGTTGCCAGTCCGATGCCTTATCGATTACGCCACAGAGACGATCACTGATTGGGAGAATTTTATTAAATATATAAACTTAATTTATACAATTGACACAAGAAGGAGAAAATAGACAAATATTATTTGAAAACAGTTATATTTATTCTAAGGAATCTTAGATAAATGTGTACAACAAAGTTTCAAACTAATTAGCCTACATACAGATCGTTAGATGAATTGATATCAGGGGGTCATTAAGACGCTTTTTTATATAGCGCTTGATTGAAGGATGTAAAAGAAAATTATCAATGAGAATCCACGTCTGTAAACAAATCAGTCTTACTAACAAAACAGAAAATAAATATGAGTATCTTTGGGACAGAAAATTTTGACTTATTTAGAGAAAATACTAGTAACCAAAATAACTAAGCATGCAACTAATTTTAACATGAAGATTTTCAATGAGTTTTTGCAAGTGCGCTGTGTTACCACCATTATTTTCAGGAAAAAATCAAATGGGTTGCCGCATAAACAATAACAACAGTCAGCATAATAATATGATGTGTAATATCCGAGTTTTATTTGTGCTAATTTTTTTTCTATGTCTCTAGTCGGTAAAAGAGCTTTAAAGCTCATGTCCTATGTTATGTGTATAAATAGTCCGACTTTAAAAAAAATTTAATCAATTACTTACACGACACACTTTTTACGCTTTACGAAGCACACTAGTTAAATCAACTAGGTATTTCTTTCAGTTTTCAATATTCCTGCATGTATATCTCTTTAAAATGGTTTTCCTATATTGTTTTTTAAAAATGTTTTTGTAATATTTACAGACAAAGAGCAATGAAACAGGGTAGACAAGATGAATGCCTTTGCACTGGCTATATTGCGGCATTTTCCGTTTTATCAATATTGACCATTATGTGCGTTCTTGTCAAAATAATTCATTTCTGCTACAACAAACAACAAAAACGTGAGTATATTTTTAAGTCACCCGAGTCACTCAGGTGACATGTGACCTATTCCTATCCGTTACGTTCTCGTCCTACGTTGTGTTTTGCCTATCGTCCGTCGTGCCTTAAACATTTTCAGCTAAACAAAGAGCATGAACCACTTTGGACCTAATTTGGCCCTGAGAATTTCTGAAAAATCGAAACCGTTCAGTTTAGCTTGAAAATACAGTATTTATCCCTTGGAGTGTTGGTGACCACGTATTAATTAATCGTGACGTAATTTCCCATCTATTCGATGCATCATGACGTCATTAAATGCGTCGTATATCTCATATTCTGTAAATTCCTTTGAAAATGACCGGTTGAAGCATTTTTTTCAATATTTCTTATAGAGCACAACCTCTGATTCAAAATATGCGAATACATAATGAAAACTCTGTTTCTGAAGATCAAAAAACATGTTTAATTTATTTTTTCGACTGTGGACTGTGCTCATATTTTAATTCTCTGCTGAAGGTAGTCAAATACGCATGTTTTCTGCAAATTTCAAAAACATTGCAATTTCTCAGATCTGTTTTTTGGATTCTCATAACGAAATTTATTATAGAAAATGAAAGCACCAAATGTCTACTTCATTTTGATATATGAAATGGGAAAGAGGGTGATAGTTAATAAATTGATATAAGTACAGGGCTATTTTATGCATAAGATGGCTCTTGCTCTTTAAACCAATTTTGGCATATAGTATCTATGATTAAAGGGGAAAAACAATATTGAATGTCATGGTCCCTATCCCCCTGGTTAATGCAATCTTTAAAAATCTTCTACATTTGACATTATTGTAATAAGCATCCGGCACATACTTACCGATTATACAGTGAAAATGCCTTAATTCTTTGACAAGTCCTCCTCTGCTCCTGGGTATTGAACAAGCTAACTTAGTACATAGTGATGATGAGCAAAAATGCCTCATCATGGCCTCAGGGTCAGGAGTTCTGGTGTAAAGGTGGGGCTCTGATAGTACATTAAATCTTCTTTGCTCATGGGTATTGAATAAATTAACTGAAGTAAATAGTTATGTTGACCATGTCTGCCTCTTCCACCATTGTGAATTTTAAGGCCGCTGGGTCAGGCGTTCTCATGTAAGGGTGGGGCTCTATTGATTTAATCAATATATATCAGATTATATAGTGAAAATGCATTATTTGTTTGAAATTATTTTCCCCTGCCCTTGGTTATTACTAGTATTTAATCAAAGGGAACATGGTGGATAAGCAGAAATGCGATATTCAAAATTTTGATATTCATGATCCAAGGGTTAGGGGTTCTGATCATGATGGGGGGGGGGTCTATTGATTATATCGAGAAAATGCATAATTTCTTTCAAAATAATTTTTCTACTCCTGGTTGTAAAGTAAAGAAACAAAATCAGTGTTTATTTTGATGAGCAAGGGCGCTTTTATATATTTTTTTAAACTTGTTGTTTCAGGGGTTCTAATGTTTCTCCGAGGGGTGTGTGCTCTATGATAGTATAGTAAAAAAATGTGGGAATTATTTGAAAATCTTCAACTTATTGCATAGTAGACATGATGAGGGTACCTCTTTCAAATTTGTAAATTTCATGACCCTGGGCCATGGATTCTGGTATTAGGATAGAGATGTGTCAAATCTGTAGTTAAAATCTTCTCTGTTCCTTGGCATATTGGAGGCAATCAGAGTAAAAGTCTTAAGTTTATACACAAGGGTATTTTACCAGAATTTTGAACATCCGGACCATCAAGTGTTGTAGTCCTACATGTGCATGTAGTCAAGGCTCTTTTTATTTGTATTTTACTGAGCGAAGCTATTCCCTCTTGTCAGTTACCTTTGAAAATTGATCACTGTAATGTATTTGATAATGTCTATAACATGACTGTTAGCAAATTTGACCTATCATTGGGTCGTATTTAGGCTTACTTCCTTCAGACATGTAAGTCCTTTGATTTTAGGCTGAATTTTACTACGGGTTGTTCTGTTTATCTGATCAATATGGAAGCCTCTCGGTGGCATGACCGGTCTACGGGGGATACTTACTCCTCCTAGGCATCTGATCTAACCTCTTAAGCTTTCAGGGGTGCCTTTTTCACAGTTTTGTATTGTTAATATTTTTATTTAAGATTGATTATTGTTGGTTTTCTTTACCCTTTTCATGACATTTTTTAAATCTGTCAACGAAGTCATTGTACATGTAAACATGTGTATATGTACTAATTACTGGAATTTTTTTTCAGGGAAAAAAAAGCAAAACTTGACTTATGAAGAAAATCCACTTCTTAAGAGTAAGGTTTTAATTTTGTTCACAATTTTAGCAAAGGACAGGATACACTAAGACCCCTTTTTGTCCCGAGCTTTGGGTGACTTTTATAATTACGCAACAGTTTCTCAATAAAATTCTCTTATCTCCTTTGCCACAAATTGAGTACTTGTTCGATCTAAGCTACATGATATAAGTAATTCAGAGGAAGATCGGGGAATACGTCATTTCTATGCAAATCTTCATCGATTTTGCATCATATTTTTGCTTTAGAAAACATAGAGCACAAATTTCCCTATCTACAAAATTTATATATTTCATACTCTAGTATCAGATACATCTTGTGTATTAAAATCTCAGATTGGCAAGCTTGTGCTCTTTTTTCCGAATTTAAAAGTTTCTTAAATTTGACGAAATTTCAGCAGAACTGAAAAAATTCTGAAAAAACGAACTAATATCTGCACCCATTTTGCCCTCCGTCTTAGTTCTAATTCAAAATTTGTGCTTGTTTAAAACAAGTTACACTTTTAGTTACAGTTCTATAATGACTATAATGATTTTAACTGTGTTTTTTGATTTTTACTACATGTACATACATGTTTAAGGGGTCAGATTCAGTCGAAACCATACCTTGTCCTTTAATTTCTTAATAAAATGCGATTATTCCACTGTTTCTATATATTGCTTTTCTTACGAATATTCATTTTGCAGGGAGAATAAACTCAGAAAGTGAAAACATGAGATCGGATCATTTAAACATGGAAGGTATCTACATGTACATCGTTAATTTTTGCTTGATAAAACTAAACAAGGGAGAAAAATATATGGACAAACTCTCACTGAAGAGAGATCATGGCATTGCAAGTAACTGTCGTTTTAATAATGAACAAATTCAAAAGTTTTATAATGTACAATTATAAATTTAGATTTACTGAGTTCAAGATAGTTATAAAACCTTTTTGATACATAAAATAATACCTATGCTATTTATGCCTTTTATCAGAAAATTTAAATATAACCGTTGTGTGACTACGTGTATGTATATATTTTTAAAAAGATGCATTTATTACCTCTTACTTAAACATTCAGGATTTATTAAATGTAATACAGTGTGGATTTCTCAATACGTTTCAATCGCAAACAGATGTATTTAATGAAACTTCCTAAGGTTTCTTTTCTTTTCTTTTTGAAACGTGTTCAATATTTAAGATAAAATTAGGCAGCTTTGTCATGCTACATGTATCTCTCCCTTGCCTAATCATAGCTGCATGTCCTTGTATTTTCTTATATGTACATATGTAAATCTTAGTTTGACATTTCACCACTCTTTATCGTGCACCCGGATAGATCCGGAGCGTACATGTATATTGTTTTTGCCCTATCGTTCTGTTTGTCTGTTGTCAACTTTAACCTTCACCATAAATTTGGAACCTAAAGAAAAGAGATTTCATATTTTGAATGCATACTCTACTAATTAAGCTCTTTCATGTGACACCAAAGGTCAATGACCTTGTGACCTCGACTGTGATTTTATGCTAATATGTCTATTTTGAACTTTTGCCATAACCATGATAACGTTTGAACCAAAGAAGATGGTGACTTCATATTCTATATGCCTACTCCACTAATTAATTTTCTACAAATATGATTTTGATTTATATTTTTACAGATGACATAGGCAGATACATTTTTGTCGATTTCACAGTAGAAGATGCACAGCTATTTGATCTCTTAAAAAGACAATGTCTCAATGGCGTATATGTTGGTTTTAATTATCTCGTTGAATCTAAGGTAATACCAAAAAAGAAAAATGAAATATTTCATCAATATGATGTACATGGATGTACGTTATTGCATTATGCAGCTCAAGGGGGATCAATCACCATACTTAAAACAATTTTAAAAACTGATCCAGAAGCAAGACTTCAAAACGAAAGTCACCAGGGTCAAAATGCACTGCATTTTGCTATAAGATATAAGCGAAAAGATATGAGCGAATATCTTATTACACAACACGGGAAAACATTTATAAAAAGCACGGAAGGAGTAGATCAATCAAGTTCAATGGAAGAAAACAAAAATGCTTCTATTAGGACGGGTAAATTTGAGCCATTTCACTGGATTGCATGGAATGGAGATTTAAGGATCCTTGAAGTTTTGAAGGAAGCTTATGTTGATTTGACGAAGTTAACAAAGAATGGTCTAGGCATTTTAGACATTGCATGCATGAAAAAGGAAAATGATTTCTGTAGACATGTTATAGAAAATGAAAAAGAAATTGATATAGAAAAGGTGGATGCAAGTGGTTGGAACATTGCTCATTATGCTGCAATGTGTAATAATGTGGAGGTTATGCAACTTCTGAAAAACAAACACGAACAACTGCTCAAATCCAAAACGTACGGGAGTAAAACTTCTCTGCATATTGCATGTGAATATGGCAGTAAAGATGTTGTTTCTTACTTTATCGAATATTTCATATCACTCTTGAACTGCAAAGATGACAAAGGATGGAATGCTATACACTTTGCCGCAAAAGGAGGCGATTTAGATATTCTCGAAGAATTGCTAAAAACTAATAGAATTGACTTCGAGTCTCTGACAGATGAAGGAAAAACACTACTTCACCTTGCATGCATCCATAAACGCGTGGAAATCTGCAAGTATGTAACCGAAAGGTTTTACGAATGCAACAGGAAACTTTTAGATCAGGAGACAAAAACACATGGCTGGACCGCTGCTCATTATCTTGCTGTTGAGAGTAAAGGCGATGGTAGTGAGGTGGATATAATTGAGATGTTCCTAGATCGTGAAATGGAACTTTCAGCCAGAACAAAAAAAGGATACTCTATTCTAAATATAGCAATCGATCATTTAAATATAGAACTCATAAAAACCCTTGTTACTGAGAGGTATAGAACAGCCCTCAAAATAACTGAGAATAGTATCAGAAAGGACAGAGAACAAACAAAGGATGAACGTATTTTGAAGATTCTTGACGACGCCCTGTCAGAAATGAGTGATGAGAGATAAGTAATCTGAAGTCAGCTTTGAGACTTTCCACACCAGATGCATAATCACTCGCTTTAAAAATCCTTCCATTGTGTCGAACGACATGTTTTTATCGTTTACTCACGTGCACTGCATTATTTGAAACTTCAATGGGACTTTGTAAGATCGAGTTTAATTGTTATAGCTTTTCTCTAAAGAGGTATTAAACTAATATGCCGGCGAACCAAAGTCATCAAATTCCATTTGATAACAAAACTGGTTGTTTTTTCTTTTACTTTTATATGATTTTTGTGTATAAAAATGCTATGTATTGTAGACACTTCAACGGCTAAAAGAATTATATTCTGACCATACAAGACTTGTAATTAGTTTATGCTTACTGTATTGATACCAGAATATTTAAGGTTTGATAACAATTATATTTACAGTTTTTTTGTATTTTAAAAAATTAATACATGTATTTGATTAACGAGTTCAAGTTGGGTTTCCAAAAAAAAAAAAAAAATCGAAATTCGAAATTTTCACAAATCCCTAAAAAGTACAGGAATCATCATTAATCGTGGGGAGCCAATTTTCGTAGATTTCGTTATGGCACTTTTATCCACGAAATTACACCCCTACGAACAAAATAATCTTTGTCAATACAAATGTCTCTATTTATTTAATCTTCTGAATTTACGACCTACCTACGAAATAACGTCCCCACGAACAAACCAAATTTTACTCACGCACGAACATTGACTCCCACGAATTAAGATGATTACAAAGAATTGCAAGTTTAAAATTCATCTTAAATTATATTTATTGTGTTGAATTTGATATATACAAAAGCTCATAATTGATGCATAAGAAAGATACAGTTTAGGAAAAAAAAAATCATGACAAAACGAGTCTAAAGATTACGATTTTTTCTTTTATGATAAATAGTTTTCTTTTATTTTTAATGTTTTATCATGATCTGTTTTTCATACCATATAAACCTTATTCGTATTTGTTAGTTTGATTCCATGAATAGTTTTAGATGTTGTAGGGTGATTTGTTTTTGTAACATCATGCTTCTATATGAATGTTTTGCTGCTTTTTAACTCACCCAACCAGAAAACTTAAGTAAGTTTTTCTGATTACTCATTGTCCGTAATTTGCCCATCCGTCTAGCTGTCCGTCTGTTAACTTTTCATTTTTTAAAATTCTTCCCAAGAACTTATTGGCAAATTTAAGCCAAAATTGGCACTAAGTATCCGTGGGTAAAAGAAGTTTTAATTGTGAAAATGAAAGGCCAAGCTACCTTACAAGGGGAGATAATCAAGGAATTCAAAAACTTGACAAGATCATTAAAATATCTTCTAAAGAACCACTGAGCGAGAAAAACTGAAAGTTTCATAGTGATATACTTAAGAAAAATCTTTAAAAATCTTCTCAAGAACCTTTGAGCTAAAAATACTAAATTAGTGTGAAAGCATTCTTCGGTAGTATAGATTCTAAACTGTTTAAATCATGACCTCCGGGAAAAGGGTTGGGCCGCAATAGGTATTACAAGGGGGCAAAGTTTTGTGAAGAAATGCAAAGTTACTTAGGTGAGCCTTGTGGCCCATGGGCCTCTTGTTCTTGATTCTCATTGATAAAAGTAAGTTTAATTCGAAATCACGCTCAGATAACCACATTTAGTATCAACATGGTTGGTTTCTTTCTGCAGACTTGTAAATACCATATGGGCTTCTAAATAAATGACAAAAATTTTTGTTTGTTTGTTCTTTAACGTCCCTTTCGAAAATTTTTCACTCATGGGCAGTGGAGAGCTGCAAATTTTCTCCTATACTCAACACTTACGGCCATTGAGCAGTGAGGGATCTTTTTTTTATGCCAGCTTCTACTGCGAAACGGGATCTCGGTTTATACAGTCTCATACGAAGGAGCGGTTCCCACGTTCCACAGTAGCATTCGCATCCGCGATGTAAGGGTTATTGACAACTCCTTTCTCCGCGACTCTAGTACACATGCTATAACCACTGCGTCACACAGCGACATGACAAATGTACATGAATGTGAAATTAAAGAAAACTTTTTGTACGTGTATATAATTTAATTCTGGTTGTAACGCTGTATTTGATTGGATAAAAAAATACTATATATCGTATAAAATGGGTTGCCTACGTCACAATGACTTGCGTCAAAAACGTATCAATCCGCCTGACGTTACATTTCAGTTTTGTACAAAAGTCGTTTTTTAAGGTCAATCATATTTTTTTTCTTACACCAAATGAATGAAAATAAATTTATAAGGGATGTATTTAATGGCTACCTATTTTATACGGTATAAACTGGGTTGGAACAGTTTACGCTTTTTAATAAACCGTTTCGCGGTTTATAAAGCGTAAGGTGCCCAAACCCAGTTTACACCGTATAAAAGAGGTAACTACTAAACTTATTCCTTAAATATAGCTGGGTCATGTACATGATGTACATGCGATATTCCAATATTTTTGTTTGATATAAATTATATTTAAATATAATATTAAATCATAAATATAATATACAAAATAACATATGATTATTAATCTATATGCAAAGTACGGAGAAATTCACTTCAAAAAGTTTCTCATTTCCGCCCAAAAGACAACAGTTCATGCAAGTGTTAGCGGAATATCATTACATAAATAAGAAAAGTTGACGCTTGAAAAGCTGTAATCATTTGGTTTGTGATACAATTTAGTTGCAAGTTGACCTTTCTCGTCTATTGTCAGTGAAACCTTCAGGTAAGAAACAGATGTGGCAGATTTTAAGGTGTTTTTTTTTTAGTTCGAATTGACATATATTGTTAATTTATAATACAACGTCTATATATATCTATGAAAGTCAAAGTCTGAGAAGTCATTAAAGAACCACATTCACTGGAGACAAAGATACCCCCTTGTTCTCCTTGTCATGATCGGGAAATATCGGAAAAATTCGTCGTAAATTAAAGTTCGGAAAAATATCTATATTTCGGCATATTGCAATACAGTGACAAAAATATCTTATCGCAATACGTTTTGGTATTTATCGATATACCGGCCAGATACCTAAAGAAAGGAATTTTATCATTAAATATAAATTAGATTTAAGAAAAGTTTTTTATAAAGCCAAGCTTTTTATAGGTGTGTTTGACAGCATAACTTTCATAAAAACTATACGATTCTTTTTTCTTTTTGATATTTTTCATAGCTATGTACATTCTTCATGTAAAGTAAAGTTAATATAATATGGAAAATACCATTACAATTTTTAATGAAAATATTTCAATACATATCGCAATGCAATTTAAAATTTCGCAATATATTGCAATACGAAATCTCTGGCCAATACTCAGCCCTATCGTCAATTCAATGATTGTATAAATAATTAAATAATTGAACTAACAATTAGTATGAAAAACATCAGTCAGATTTTTTCTCTATGATAATTTTTTTTGCTGACAAGCAAAGGCGGATCCAGGAATTTGTAAAAGGGGGAGGGGTCCAACATTTTGACCTATTAGGTACTGTTTGCAACATCTACCGCTCCCAATTTTCACCCCACTTTGTTTGTGTACATGTAAATGATCTAAAGAAAATGTCTACTTGGTGTTTTTTTACCATTTAATTTCTATTAATTTTCAAATATATAAGTATACAGAGGGCCAATAGGGCATGTTTCGTGTAACTGTCATGACAATACTGATGATAACTCATAATTTTTGTAGATATGGTCTCCATCAATATTTAATGACTGCAAAATATTCTCAAGACATATTTTAATCGTGTTGAATACAATGCCACTAATTTTCAAACAACACACTTGGATGAAACATTTTCCTGTTATGCATCGAAATAAATCTCTTGCAAACTTCCATAACGTCAATTTTCAACCCAGTGTTCATATTAAGTAGTGCAAGGCCAGTCAATCGTTCATCTGTCATTGATTTTCAGAAGTGTACGGATGTTTGGGAACACATCAATGTCTGCTTGCTTCAATGCGTAAATGCGTAAACTGATTTCTGTCAAATCTACCTGTTTACTCTCCCAGAACATCTTCAAATCGATGACTTCGTTTCGAAGAGCACATGGATTTGGTAGGTCATCATTCCAAAAGATCAAATTTTGAACGAGGGACTTGATGTCATTTTCGCCACGAATGGCTGCTGGAAGAAGGGCAAGGATTTCTTTTCCCATTCTATTGTTGGGATTGAATCTTTCGTTGAACTCCCCATTTAGACAATCAATAAATGGTATTGCTAGATTACGAAGGTAATATTCTTTTGTGGATTCATTAGGAGCGTTTGCTCTGTGTATAGCAAGTTTTGATGTTCTCGGAGCTTCAACTGTGGACCCTATCTTTTCAGCCACGAGTACTGCTTCCTCATACCATTCTGAAAATTGAGCATCAATGTCCTCTCTCAAACAACTGATTTTGTTTCGCGTCTCGTCGATTAATGTGTAGGCCTGGTAAACATCAAAATCTCTCTTCTGAAGTTTTGACGCCATAGGTTTGACAGTATGCAGTTCGTTTCTTGCAACAATAATGGCAAGTATATTTGTGAAATTTTTCAGACTTGATAGAAGACCCTGTGCTTTTGTTCTTGTTTCTCTGTCCCATGAAAAGACCTTTTCTCCCTCCTTATATATATTTGCATGCTCATTGAACAATATTGCTTCAAAACAGGGGATTATGTACTCATACATCTCCGTAAAAGTTTCCAAGCTTGTGTGCCTTTCAACCCAGCGGGTCTTGCACAAACCAACAAGTCGCTTTCGTTTTGTTTCAGGTGGATATGCATCAAGTATTATCTCCAAAAATCTCTGCCTCTTAGGCGAGTTGTCAAAAAAGGTAGGTGGCATTGATAATGTCAATAGCATTTCTAATTACAGGGATTCTGCATGCGCTCGCAATAGACACTTTAAGAACATGACTATTGCAATGCATATACAATGCCTTTGGAGAATGAAGCTTTATCCTTGCTTGAACCCCACACCTCTGCGATGACATGGCAGCAGCGCCATCATAAAACTGGACTCTAACTTTATTTATGTCGATGTTTCTGTTCTGAAGGGAATTTATGATGGCATTGGCAATCGATTCACCATCCGTTCTTTCAATATATATGAAATCAAATAAGAATTCTTTAACTTGATTGCCGTCTAGCAGTCTGAGACATAATGCAAGAATCTCTTGATTGGAATATGCGTCAGTAACTTCATCTGCAATTATCGAAAAGAAGCTGTTTCCCTCTTGCAGTGAGGCTGTTGTTTCTGCACGGATGTAGTCGCCAAGAATTTCAAGTATCTCATTCTGTATTGTTTTAGATGTATACCGAGCATTTCGTTTTACGTTTTATAAATGATTCCTTAAAATTGTGTCATGCTCTGCAATCAGTTCAAGTATGGCCAAAAACGTTCCTTTATTTGTGTTACCCGATGTTTGATCATCTCTGTGACCTCACAAAGGAAGATTTTGTTTGCCACATAATATCACAGCCTTTACAATGCACTAGAGAATTTGCAAATTTGTCTCGTAATTCTCTTTCTTCTTCATGTTAAGAATCACGTCAACAGCTTGTTTTGGACATTCTATCTTTTCTTTGAGATTCAATCCTAACAGAATGGAATCCCTGTGGTATTAGAGATTCGCATGATTTTCCAGTGCACCATCTTTCCCTGTGGCTTTTGTAAAGTTTGTAAAAGGTTTTGTAACAAATGGTCCTTGATACTTTCGTTTGTCATTAAGTGGAAAATAACACACAATATTTACACATTCCACCCCTTGCAGCAGGACTGTAAACCAACCATCTGTATTTTCTAACCAGAAAGTTTAAAAAACGAGGTGTTTTACTTGTTTGTTTTCCCCCTAACGACCGTTTGAGCTAGAAAATCTTTGTATCCTGGCCCTGGAATGAAATGATTGTTTATGTATTCCAGCTTTTCATGGGATGTCAATCTGTTTTTGTCAACCGATCCATGCAATATATTCCCGACATCTTTCGGTGTCAAGAAGGAGGGTACTGATTTTCTCTGTTATCTGTAAAGGTATTGGTTAGTGGGGTTTGACCAGAGACATGTATTGGAGTATTTCCTTCGTTGATTTCTATATCATCACCTTTGTTCTGATCACTTTCTATGGGCATCATTTCGTCAGACTGGTCGTCACACATGAACACTAAGCTGGGTTTTGCATCGTTTGTTTCTGTTGTCTGCTGTTCGTAGTTTTCTTGTATTGTCTCTGTCGTTTTGGATGTCGTGGACGACGGTAAAATATTAAATCGCATTTTCTTTGCATTACTTTCTGGGCACCTCTCTATCTCTATGCATGGCACAAAATGATTAGGTGACCATGACTGTAACTGGGAGTTCTTTGTATGTGTCCACATTATGCAGATCTCTTCATCGGTGTGTGCTTTCAAAGGCTTGATTACTTGATTAAGTAAATTTCTGCTGATTGCTACATTTGAGACTTCTGGAAATATGCTTCTGATTTTGAATTCAAAGGCATTGGATGCAGCATATATGTGTAAGATTGAAATATAAGTACCAATATCAGTTGTCCTCATGACTTCTGTTTGGTATACCACGGTATTGTTCGAATCCGCAGTACTTACCGATGTCTGGATAATATTTTCTAGCAATTTATCTACACTGGACGAGGACATGTCCTGCAAATCTTTATTGTTCAGGTAAGTGTTTTGGTTTAAAACTAGCTCCAAGGACGTTCTTACTCTGCACTCGACGTGATATTCTTCTGTTCCAAAGAGAATGTTTGAAATGCTGCGATAAAAACAATTTCCATCGCCATAACACTGTTATATCGGCTTGAGACAAGAAGAGACACCTGAAGGATACAATAGCTCTGATACCCGGTCAATTCTAGATCTATTTCTTTGAAAGTCATTGCACAAATTTTGAGGGATTGCATATTTTTCTAGAGGTTAATGGTATAATGCTGCGCTGAATTTCAGGTGCTACCATCCCTTTGTCGCGGCGCGTCTCAAGTTTTTGTACAAAACTGAGAAGAATTGCTGCCTAGATCCATCCTGCGGACAAACTTTTTAAACTTGATATATTCAGCGGTAAACGGAGATATACTACGTTTACATTTTCAAATAACATCAAATAAATTGTAGACGGGAAAGTGGAATAGGCAATCATGGTAAGTAATATATAGTCTATATGATAAAATTAATAACTTTTTCCCCAAAACTAGCAAAATAAAGTCCCCTAACGGTAATATAACTATAACCAAAACTATTGGAAATCTTAAAAAAGATAAAGAGCTACGAGCATGTATCGAAAGTGCCGAACATGAGCCAAAATCCGAACAAGGACCAGAGCTATGCCTGAGGGAGATACGTCCTTTATTTCTAAAATTTATCACATTAAAATTTATATATCCGTTTCATGCTAGCACTGGAGTACTAGACGAAACTGGGCCTATGAATACCCTCGGGGACTAAAAGTCCACCAGCAGAGGCATATTACTAACACTAATTTTCAGTTATAATTCTCTCTTTGCTACAAGGATATACAATTTTGATAATACATTTTTTTTATTTCGTAGGCACACATAACCAAAAAATGGGGGAAGGGGTATGAAAGGCCGCACATGAAGGCCTATCTAGAATTTATTTTACTTTAAAAATATACATGTACATTACATGGGGGAGGGTAGGGAACCACCCCAACCTGTTTTTTTCCTACAAATTGTAAAAAAAAGAAAGAAAAAAAGTGAAATTGGACTCACCCCTTTTAAAAGGAATATTAAAAGCTGACTGTCTCTCTGAAGATAAAACTCAATGGTAGACCCCTCCCCTACACCGTGCCGTTCACAAACTTGAGAGTTTAAGCATAGTTTGGGGTATTTGTATCTAATGAAATTGATAATCACGTACATAACCACCCCCACGTGTAGTTTTGAAACGTGACGTTTATGTGATAAATATAGTATAATAGGCCCCTCTGTGTTTTATAAAATATATGCAAAAAACTCAAATAGCTGCAGTGCTTGTTCTACCGCCTAACCCTTTCATGAACTGAATATTTGATAAACAAAGTTTGTTCAGATCACAAGGCTTCTTATAAATTTTGTACTCAATCTGTATGTTATATATCTATTCATGGCTTGAGAATTAAAAAGAAAAGCCCCCCCCCCTCGTTTTGTGTTTGAACTCAGAGCATAAAGTTTGTACTATATAGCTGCGCTCGCTACAACGGTCACACCGTCAATAAATTACTGTATATTTTAGCCAATGTTCATGATACATTGTAACAACCAGCCTTCCACATGTATTTGTGTTACACGTGAAACGACCTTTTTCAAAATCGTCGTGTATGACTCAGCCTAAGAATCAAACATTTGGCTAGTAGCCTACATGTAGTTCAATATAAACAACTCTTAATAAAAAAAAAGTAAAAGCTTACCATAATATTTATGAATTATGGACAGTTTCATCTTCATGCCTTACTGGAAGCAGCTTCAGAGTTATTCTAAACAAAACTGTATACGTACAGCTCTGATGTTTCCGGTAAAATCTCGTCAACTTTCTATTTCTTTTCTTTTTTTCTTTCTTTCTTTCCTTTTTTTCTTGATTTATATTTCTAAATTTTTTGGGGTGGGTGGGTAATATTAATTTTCTTGCAAAACGGATGTGACCTTAATTTACGCGAAAAAGCATGTGAGATTAAAAAGTGCGTTCAGCTGTATATAAGGGAAGTTGACGATAGTAAAGTTAAAGTCATCACCTTTATTATAGAGCTTGGTTGTCAGATAACCATAAATATCTTTTTCAAGTAAATTATCCAAATATGAAACAGATGTGTCATTCGTTATAATATCTTTTATCTTCAGCTCACAAGGATGTATCGCATCTACATAAGAATGGAAATTACAATTGTTAATTGACAATACATCGTCGATATATCTTACTGTTGAGTTGAAATCTACTAACAGGGCGCAATTTGTACCCATGGAAATTCCAATAGATTGTTGGCAGACGTTGTCTCCAAGAACAACATAGAAATTATCAATCAGAAACTCAAGTGTCAACTTCAGAGTACTTTTGGCCCCGTGGGGATCCGGGTTGGAATAGGTCCTCAGTACCCCCTTGCTTGTCGTAAAAGGCGATTAAATGGGGCGGTCCTCGGATAAGACAATATAAACCGAGGCCCCGTGTCACAGCAGGAGTGGCACGATAAAGATCCCTCCCTACTCAAAGGCCGTAAGTGCCGAGCATAGGCCTAAATTTGTAGCCCTTCACCGGCATTGGTGACGTCTCCATATCAGTGAAATATTCTGGCCAAGAACGTTAAACAGTATACAATCACTCAGAGTACTTGTGTGTACAATCAGAATGTTTTTTAACAAAATATTTTTGAAAATGACAAATGACAAGGAAAACTAGAAAGACTGCTATTGCAAGCAATAGCTTATGTTACCCCGAACCAGACAAAACTTTCATTTTTTCTCATCAATAAAACAGTACCCATTAGCTAGGCTTGGAAAAACCATCAAATCCTATCAGTACTTTGATTTAAAAATCAAAGTTAAAGAATTTTCACTTTCCCACTGTTTCCATGGAAACTATTCAAAATTTGCAATTTTTAAATGCAACCCGCACAATGACAGATACTAATCAATAAATTAGTAAAGTTTCATGACGAATATTCAAGGGACCAGAAAGAACACTCCCGGACAAAATTCGTCGCATTTTGAAGGTTCCCATGGCAACGGTAGCCATTTTGAATCTGAATGACCACATGGCACAACTACAACCAGTGATCTTCCTTTAAGGAAAGTTTCAGGAAGATTGTCCCAGCCATCTCGGAGAAATCGCCTGGACAACAAAAACATGCGTACAATCGCAATATGT